TGCCTTTGTCAGCTGAGAGAACTACAATATCATTCCTCTTTTTTAATTTATATAATTCAAAACGCTCATCTTTGCTGAGGTTGCTAGCTGGCATCTTAGCGTTTTTGAGGGTTGCAGCGATTTCAGATCTTGCTACGTCTGCAGCGATGTGACCCAGGCCCCTGAGAGCAACGTCTACTTGGGCAATTATATCATTAACTGGTATGTGTTTAGGTGTGACTGCAAAGTTTAGACCTTTAGCTAAAACGGATTTCAGACCATCGGAAATAGAACTGTTACTGCGATTAATTACGACTTTATTAACGTCTAACTTTTTGGTGTGTGGGTCCGGTCTTTTGTTGAATAGGAGGTTAAATTTGGAAATCAGGTTTTCCTTACATTTGGTCGACATAGTAGCAGCTGAAGAGGCAGTCATATTGTCTACATGTTCCCAATCCGATGTGGACATTATTGCCGTCAATGATAAGTGTGATTTGTAGAGTGTCTTGTCTAACTGATCTAGTTCTGTGCGTATAAGTCTGATTTTTTCTGAGATAAGAGCTAAGCTAGTTTTGAAAAGAATTCGTTTCGCATTAGAAGAAGTTACAGTAGCAGAGGTGAGTGTAAATGCGATTGGTATTACCCCAGAGTCGCGGCATCTCTTCAGGAAGGTGAGAGACTCGATCAGCTGAGCTTTCTTATCCTTCAACAAACTCCGGGATAAGAAAGCTCAGCTGATCGAGTCTCTCACCTTCCTGAAGAGATGCCGCGACTCTGGGGTAATACCAATCGCATTTACACTCACCTCTGCTACTGTAACTTCTTCTAATGCGAAACGAATTCTTTTCAAAACTAGCTTAGCTCTTATCTCAGAAAAAATCAGACTTATACGCACAGAACTAGATCAGTTAGACAAGACACTCTACAAATCACACTTATCATTGACGGCAATAATGTCCACATCGGATTGGGAACATGTAGACAATATGACTGCCTCTTCAGCTGCTACTATGTCGACCAAATGTAAGGAAAACCTGATTTCCAAATTTAACCTCCTATTCAACAAAAGACCGGACCCACACACCAAAAAGTTAGACGTTAATAAAGTCGTAATTAATCGCAGTAACAGTTCTATTTCCGATGGTCTGAAATCCGTTTTAGCTAAAGGTCTAAACTTTGCAGTCACACCTAAACACATACCAGTTAATGATATAATTGCCCAAGTAGACGTTGCTCTCAGGGGCCTGGGTCACATCGCTGCAGACGTAGCAAGATCTGAAATCGCTGCAACCCTCAAAAACGCTAAGATGCCAGCTAGCAACCTCAGCAAAGATGAGCGTTTTGAATTATATAAATTAAAAAAGAGGAATGATATTGTAGTTCTCTCAGCTGACAAAGGCAATGCTACTGTTATCATGGATAAAATAGAATACAACAACAAAATTAAAGAATTACTCGACGATGGTAGTTATACAAAAATAAAAAGAGATCCCACCAACAGCCTCGTCACACAAACCAACAAAATAATTTCTGATTCAACCGCATTAATTGATCAATCTAAACAGTTTTCGTTGAAACCTTCTGCTGCCAGGCCACCAAGAATATACGGCTTACCAAAAATACATAAAGTTGATACACCTCTTCGTCCCATAGTCTCTACTATCAGCTCCCCCACCTACAAACTAGCTCGTTTTTTGTCTGAAATCCTGCGTCCTTTCACTGGAAAGACCACCTCTGCGGTACAAAATTCTACTCACCTGGTATCAACAATCAAGGGTATTTCCCTGTCCCCAGACGACCTGCTTGTCAGTTTTGATGTAGTTTCCTTATTCACCAAGGTTCCTGTACCTGACACCATTGCAATCATTGAAGACTTGGTTCATCAAGGACTAAACACTGAGGTACCCCCCCTGGTGAGACACTGTTTAACCAATACATACTTCACTTGGAATGGAACTTTCTACAAACAAACTGAGGGCACCCCAATGGGCTCCCCCCTTTCTCCAGTTATAGCTAACATTTTCATGGAGAAATTTGAGACTGACGCCATCCAGACTGCCACTCTGCGCCCAACCTTATGGAAGAGGTACGTGGATGACACTTTTGTCATCTGGCCACATGGCCGGCCTGCTCTAGACCAATTCTTCGACCACATCAATTCCATACACCCAGCCATCAGATTTACCATGGAAGTCGAAATAGATGGCAAGATACCTTTTTTGGATGTCCTAATTAAAAAGAGACCTGATGGTTCAATGAGCCACTCTGTCTACAGGAAAGCTACCCATACGGATGCTTATCTGAAACCGGATTCCCACCACCATCCATCACAAAAGAATTCTCTCATCAAGACTCTGTATCATAGAGCCCAATGCATATCCGACCAGGAACACATAAGCAGTGAACTCAAGCACGTACACCAAGCTCTTAGGGCTAATGGTTACTCCGACTATACAATCCGCAAAGCTATCACTCAAACCATGAAGAAGAACCCTCTTGAGGAACCTTTCAAAACCATCACTTTACCCTACATTGCTGGGATCACAAAAAAGATCTCCAAAATCTTGAATAAACACAAGATCCAGGTCCGTTTCAACACATTACATAAAATCCGTGATCTGGTTCCATCTGTAAAAGATGTGATTCCGGACATACAATACCCTGGTGTCTACAAACTAAGTTGCCTCTGTGGTAGTAGTTACATTGGAGAAACCAAACGCCATATCTCGGACCGCATTCGTGAACATAAAGCAGACCTTAAACACGGTAGGACCAACACCTCGGCCGTAGCAGATCATTGTTCTAATTCAGTAGGCTCACATGCCATTGACTTTTCCAAGACGGAGGTTCTTTGTAAGCCATCTGGCTTCCATGAGAGATTCGTTCATGAGGCTATCCACATATACAAACACAGAGACAATTTCAACCGAGAAGATGGATTCTATCTTAGCAATCATTGGAAAGATTTGATAAATCATTTCAGTTCTTGATTGATTGTTCACGCTTACAGTGGCTTTCAGACAGCATACATAAAAACAAATTTCGTCTCCCCCCTCCTCTTTTCAAAAAATAGATGGACTAGTCCTGGCAAACAGCCAATCGTTGCGCGTGACGCAAACGTTATTTTTATATAAATAAATAAATATGCCGTTTTCAAAATAAATTTATGCAAACCGACACACCTGATGATGACCGTTTGAGTTATGGTCGAAACGTCGTGAGAATTTTTTATTGTTTTATATATATTTTGTTATTTTGTTGTTTCTCTTCAACGTGACTTTACCGAAAAAACTAAGAATATCAACATTATCTGTTAAAATTGAATTTTGAGAATGGCACCAAAAATTCAGATAAAGTATTCCTCTGCAAAATTGAAATGATTCAACATTTTCTAACGTTAAAGTATATCCAGATATTAACACTGGTGGCCCTTTCTAAAGGCAATGAATATGACAAATTACAGGTTTTCCTCACTTCGTGAGAATTTGCATTACATACTGCCCACCTATTTCTATCCAAAATTCTCCATGTGCGATTTAAATTCACTCTACATGTGGCTATGTGGTCAGACGTGGCACAATACTGCGTGTACTGTACGCCCTACATGGCAAGCGTGTATGCATGCATGTTGAACTTCCTTCGCACCGTACATAGCCATCCGTGCTAATTAGGAGGTGCATCTGCCTCGTGGGGTTTCACTTCGTATGCACCTTGTTTTTTTGGAATTCATCTACGACCGCACAACGCGGGAGAAACCCGTAGCATATTCAAGCCGTACGTGGTGCTGCCATGAGATCCGCATGTGGAGACGTTCATTCACAAACCACGCTTCTCGCCAAGCACAAGCTCTACTTTCTTGTGCAGGACAACTTCATCGCAACGTAAGTCACGCCTCGGATCTTGACTTAAAGCTTTCGTGACTGCAGGAATTCGTATTCTTGGGTCTTTCGGTGAAAATCACGTAGTTAGGTTGAAAAAAAAAAGAACACGAAACTACGGTAGTTTTTTTTTGTTATTTTCTTTGAATCTATCTACGTGACTTTTCCGAAAGGCCCAAGAATACACGTTTCAGATGTTGCAGTTGATTCTAAACCAACGACAAATACACCTGCTCAGTACGCAAGCTTTCAGAGCTCATGCCGAGAAAATGTACCCATGAAAGTGAATCTGCATCTGCGTCGTGTATCCTAACCTCGGCATGCACACAGTCGACATGACAGGACCACCAAGCACGACTAATGCAGTGCTTGTCAGAAAGGTCGAACATTCTGGAAACAGGAAATTACACTTCCTAGAAAGCACATTTATTTCACTCACGTGAACATTCTTTCATGCAAAGCGGTGTGTGACAACTCCACGTTGGTTATTCTGTACCGCATTGATGCATGGTGCAGCATTTAAATACCCTTCAGAGCAAATGGGCATCGTTATTTTTTCGAATTCCTATTTGCTCAGTGGCCTGTGCTATGAACAAGTAAAGCAGCATAGCTATTCCTGCTCGAGCAATAAATTTAAGCACAAAGCACCTTGGGCATCAAAATAAAACTCTTTGCGGACGGCAAACATAATTAGTGTATGATCATAATACAATTAATGACACACTTGTTTTACCAGGCCATGCGTTATCGGTCCTCAATGACTGTTTTGAAAGATGCTCTGGCCCTTGAGTGTTGTTGCATGTGAGAGAAGACTCCAGCATAGTGACTCGATAAACCCCACACATAAGAGCGGAGAATGCCACTCAAACGCGACTCGGACCAGTCAAAATCTTTCCGGCGGCTGTTTCTGATTGGACGGATGGCAATCTCCGCGTGATCTGTTAATCACACCTGCAATTCGGGTATTGCCAGCACACTTTCATTATTCATCCGATCCGGAGCCACTTTTGTACAATGAGACTATGCATGTAGAGGGAAGACAGTCGTGTATGCGGAAGAACACAATCGAATGGCCGAGAGCAACTCGGACGGATTGCGAATGCCGCAGACACCACAATGAAGAGAAGGGGCTGAAAAAATTACCTCCCGTAAGCAAAGCGCCGGTCTTTGTGGTGATCTCCAAACGTGTCCCACAGGCGCAGGGACACGTTGACTTCGTCCACGACATCCCGTGAGCGCTCCAGCACCTGCACGAAGCAGAAGGGGTGCGTTCAGTCATCGTATGCTGCCACATCGACGTTCATTGTACGAGCGTTGGCTTACGCGACACACATGGGTGGTCAAGTGTTTAGAAACGTGCACTTTAAGAGTATTTGGCCGCTGTAAATGTTCACGTGATGAGCCACTTCGTTGATCAGTGGGCCCTACCTAGTAAGGTAAAACATTGTTTAGTTTTGTTTTAGTTTACACGACCCTGGGTACGGCTTGCAGCACTTGGTGGGAAGTCTCGAGTGAATGTTTAAGTGGCAGGACTCTTTCCTGCCATAGGAACGTGGCCTTGCTCAAGACTACCAATACAGTAGCAACCATATGACACAAACACATAACGTTTTGCTTCAAATTGTGTTATTTTACTGAAGATGCACACGTGTTACAGTTTGCAGAACTTCAACTGGTTAAGTGTGAAAAATGTTCACGTGTCTTACTCCTGCAGAGCCTACTACGTTCTTGGATGTGGTGTAAAAGCAGTCTGGAGTGACCTTGAAAATTCGGGCATCTCGGAGGCCCGAACACTCAATGGACAATTAGAAGCTGCTAAATTCAAATTCGAGTCAGGGTAAACTCCTAGCATCGTGCCCGTGGCATTCATGAAACTACAGCAGATTACTGAGAAGTCAACAGTCAGTCTATGAAAACTCGCCTCGTGATTTAGAGCTGCTGATGGACATGACTAGTGCTGGGCTATCCAATTACGCAATCTATTACTCTACCAAGCATTGGCTTTATTTGTCGACGAATCGGATAACACATAAATGGTTGCGGATATAAAGTGTCACCTCTATTCCCACATGTGCCACTGGACGGGAGGTGATAGTCAAGGCCCTGGTGACATCACTGGCATAAAATAAACCATAAGCTATTTTTTTTATTTTACCAGGTAAGGCCCACTGAGCTAGATATCTTTTTGCAGAAGCCACCTGGCCACAAATGACAGCTCAACGAATTGGCTGATCACATAGACATTTACTTTAAGTGCATGTTTCTAAATGTTTAGGGCAAATCCAGAGGACCCAGAGAAAAATCCAGGCTCCTAGGGGAGACAGACATGCAAATTCGAAATATACAGCAGGCGTCAGGGTCAGGATGCAACCCACGACCTCCTGCATACCAGGCAAGGGAGTTAACATCTCGCCACCACGGCATCATCAGCCAAGTGAAGCTGTGCGTCCTTTCGGGAGTTTCCTGCCATCGGGAGGCAGGATTATCACGGCGGCCACCATTTTTAAAGCGGTTACGGGTAATCAACCAAAAACAAGGAGTCGATTAAAACGTTTATTCGATTAATCGACTTAATTGATCATTCCATCCCTAGACACGACGATCTTTCTCGTCCTGGCAAAACGCTTTACCGCTGCTCTTTGACCTCGGCAAACATTTTACGCTTGCTTAGCCCCGTGAAAATAACAGAAAAGCAAAAAGCGCATCCTTCAATCCTTCAAATATCGGAGAGTCTGAGGCACGCGTAGACGAAGCGGGGGTCGGGGGGGGGGGTGACACGTTCCTGTGCCCCCCCCCCCCCCCCCGGATCTGCGTAGATAAACGCAGAGCGGCCGTGGCGCTCTGCTCGGGAGAAGCGGCGTGTCAACGGCCGTGCACGGACACATGCATGTTGTATGTCCGGTGGACCGGCTCTGGCTCCTGCCACCATGAGGGGTGGACAGTCCTCTACTCGGGGCAGCAGACTGCCAAACAACAGGGTGTGGGTCTTCTTTTGAACAAAAGAATGAAGGGGGCGTGGGAGCGTGGCGGTGAGGTGTGGGAAGCTGTAAGCCCCAGGCTACTTTGGGCTCGCCTTCCCATCAACCGGAGGCGAGGAATGGTGGTCGTGGTTACTTATGCCCCCACCGAAGATGAACATCCGTGGAGGGATGCAGGCAAAGCCGATGAGTCAGATGCCTTCTATGACCTCCTGTCACAGGTGCTGGCTAAAGTGGCCTCTCGGGATAGAGTCATCATGTTGGGTGACTTCAATGCCCGAGTTGGTCATGATACTGGCACCTGGTCTGGAGTGATTGGAGGGCATGGGCCAGATCAGCTCAATAACAACGGTAGGAGGCTGCTAGATTTTTGTGCAGCCTATGGGCTTGTAATTACCAACACACTGTTCCGGCATCGGCGCATCCACACAACATCATGGATGCATGCCGGGTCCAAGCAAGAACATCTGCTGGACTACATAGTGACGGACCAGCGAATGCGAGCCCATGTCCTTGACACCAGGACCTACCGTGGAGCTGATCTGCCCTCTGACCATCGACTAGTCATCTGTAAGATGCGCCTGCCATTCTTCCACTCCGGTGGTGGGTGTACACCCAGGACCACATTCCAACCTAAAGTGGCCTGGTCTCAGTTATCTGATGAAAGTTGCAAGCGAGAATTTCATCATCGCTTGCGGCTGGGATTGGCATCGTCCCCGACTCCTCCTGATGTCGAGGGTAAATGGGCGAGGTTTAGGACTGTGACTCATGCAGCTGCAATGGCTGCTTTAGGTACGCGGTCCAGACCTCCCCAGACACCCTGGATGACAGAGGAGTTGTTCAGAATGGTTGAGAAAAAGCGACAGGCCCACTGTCATCGGCTACAGAATCCCACGTCAGAGAATGAGGAGGCTTACCGCAACCTTCGCTCGGAGGTTCGGAGAGCCGTGAGGCGCTGCAAGGATGGGTGGTGGTCGCGGGTTGCTGAGGAGATGGAGTCTGCCTCAGTGGCCCGTGATCACAAATCTCTATTTAACTCAATCAAAAAAGTAACCTGCAGCGCCACACCTATTACCATCATTAGGGGAAAAAACGGTGATCCAATTTCCGACCCCCAGGAACAGGTTCGCAGATTTGCTGAGCATTTCTGTGAGGTCCTGGGGGAGGGAAAATCCCTCAGCCAGGAAAACATCGTGGCACAAAGTGAGGATGACCCTGCTGAGGCTGCGGTGCCTCAAATATTGGATGAAGTCACCCCCTGTGAGTGGCTGGCTGAGGTGCCATCTGCTGAGAAAGTATTGAAGGCGATCCGGAGTCTGAGACCAGGAAAGGCAGCGGGCAGAGATGATCTCCCAAGCGAAATGCTGAGGGAGGGTGGCGTTTGTGCACAGACTGCCCTATATGACATCATAACAACAGTCTGGACCACTGGACGGGTTCCACAGGATTGGAAGGATGCCCTGGTGGTCCCCCTTTTTAAGAAGGGGGACCGCACAGACTGTAACAACTACAGGGGCATCTCACTCCTCAGTGTGCCGGGAAAGGTCCTGGCAAGGATTATTCAACATCGCCTTGCCAGGCACGCTGAGGAGAGGCTTGCGGAGCCCCAATGCGGTTTCAGGAAAGGGCGGTCCTGCACAGATGCCATATTTTCTGTCCGTCTGCTACAGCAGAGGTGTAGGGAATTCCAACTAGACCTACATCTCTGCTTTATTGACCTGGTCAAGGCCTATGATACCATCAGTAGGCCTGGGCTCTGGGTCGTTCTTCGTGCTTTTGGAGTACCTGACCCTCTGCTCACGATCATTAAGGACCTTCATGATGGTGAGCGGGCCCGGGTAAAACTACGTGGCCGGGAGTCAGAGCCATTCCCTGTACACCTTGGGGTGCGACAGGGATGTCCTCTGGCTCCCACATTATTTAACATCTATTTTGACCACGTAGTTCGTGAAGCCTTCAATAGCTGTACCGGGGGAATCTCCATATGGTACAGATATAATGGGAGGCTAATCGATGCCCGGGTGCGGTCAAGGGATGGCTCCCTATTGCTCAACCACGTTATGTATGCTGATGACTTGGTAATAGCTGCTCAGTCAGAGGAGGAGTTGGAGACGCTGCTGCTGAGACTGGAGCGTGCCACTAAGAGGTGGGGCCTTACCATCAGCCCCACCAAAACTAAGCACCTGCCTGGGTATTTTGTACCATCAGACACTCCACCCCCACAACTCCCAATCGGTGATGGGGCAGTTGTGGAGAGAGTGGAGAGTTTCCCATACCTGGGCAGTGTGCTTATGACTGGCTCCAGTTTAACAGCAGAGGTCTCACTCCGAATCAGTCGAGCGGCAATATCTTTTCATCGGTTGCGTAACGCTGTGTGGAAGCTACCTGGTCTGTCGCTCCGCACTAAGCTTCAGGTCTTCTCGGCCACGGTCATTCCCTCCCTTCTCTACGCTTGCGAAACGTGGACCCCCCTAATGGAACATCTTCGCCGGTTAGAAACATTTAGGCTGACCTGCCTACGATCCATCCTGGGTTTAACCAGACTGGATTGTGTGAGGAGCTCACAAATCCTTGAAAGATCTAGGCAGGGTCCCATCGGTGAGCTCCTCCGGCAGGCAAGGCTGCGATGGCTGGGTCATGTAGCCCGCATGCCCAGCCACCGCATGCCGAAACAGCTTTTGTTTGGCCGGATTGAGGGGGCTAAGCGGGCGCGGCACGGGCTAGAGAAGAGATGGAGTGATGTGGTACAGGAGGACGTGGAGCTGAGTGGACTTGCCGATGACTGGTACCAGCGGTGTCAAGATCGGCCTCTGTGGAGGAGGCTCGTGAAGGATGCTACTGGGCAGTTGGAGGCAGTCGCCCTCCAACAACAACGGAGGGCGGAGGAGCGACGCTCAGAACAACGAGCGGAGCGCCGGGTGGCTAAAGCACAGCAGGTTGGCACAGTAGGGGGCACAGGTGGTGCATCAGCCAGTCACCTCAGTCAGTCGACCCGTGGCACCTGGGTCTGCCCCGTGACCTCCTGCCAGCGGGCGTTCGACACTTCACGTGGCCTCAGGGTGCACATAGCCTGGCACAAGCGTCGTGGTGACGTCACCGCCACTTAGTGGCGAATGGCGGTTTTTGTTGTTGTATGTACGTTGCACTGCTTTCGCACCGTGCGTAGCCCGCCGTGCTAATCGGAGGTGCGGGGCAAGTATGACGTTTTTCCGTCTGCATGCGCCGCTGGGAAATATAGTTCGTCATCCACGCCTCTCGTTTTCATCGTG